TCTTTACACCACCCTGATTAAATTGGCTTTTTCTCCCAAATCTTGCTCAGTAGTCTTTCCCAAGTTTCCTTATTACCTCGAACATAGTGGTACCCTACTTCTACACCACGATTAGTCACTTCTAGAAAATTGGTAGTGATAAATTCCTAACATTGCATGTACATATTAAAATGTCTTGGTGCATTAGTCATTAGCCAATTGTCGCATATTTTGTAGTGTATCAATTTCTCTACTTGCAGAATAGTCTAAAAAGTGAGCTTTTGCTGCCTCATCTTCGAAAAAACCTGCTTAAAACAATGCCTGTTTTTATTAGCTAAAACGCAGTGGTGCCTCTTTAATCTGTTGGAGTGTTTCTTTTCATCTAGGAAGGTACACGTGTTAAACTTTCAAAAAAAAAAAGCTCTAAAAAATTCAGAACGTAAGCTCGTCATGTGGCTGTTGTTATGAGTCATAACCACACTGACAACGCCTGCTTCATACTGAGGCTATTACGGTGTTTATCCTGCACAAAATGATATAAAGGAGCGAGATCGCACATCTGATATTACTGTGATCATCGCACCATGTTTTTTGATCTACTGAAAGACTTCTGCAAAGTTTTTCCTGAAGCTGTTCCAAAAACCTAGAATATGTTTATGTATCTCGATCTGCTAACCAATTGGCTTCCTCCTCATGCATCATTCTCTGTTCTATGACTAGATCTGTACTAGCAATAGCGTTGAAGTAAGGATTATGTAAAATTTCACAATTTCCAGTTACGAAGAGCTCAGCGACGGCGGTGGCGTGTGGATCGTCAAAAGCAGCCGGAAAACCGGTCAATAGTTCGGTATCAGGTCAGTTGCATACCTTGAGTCTAGTTAGTCTCACTCTGTTTGATGTGACTTTACTGTTTTTTTTCCAAATTTTCTAAATATTTAGAGCGCATTATGAAATTTACTCAAGTGTGTTGTACATTTAGTGGCTTGGAAAATCCTAGGATCTAATGATTTGTGTTGTTCTAGAGGCCTCTTTTTCCTGTAGTTTCCATCTCTTCTGCTTTCTTTCAGTTCCCGAAATTATAAAATCTTTCCCTCAAGATGGTCCATCGGGTAATCCTGGTTGTTTTCCGAAAGCAAGCACTTTGGACAGTTCCAAACTCTTTTTCATTGCTATTTGGACTTTTTTTGATATAATCTGTGATAAATTTCTGTAAATGCAGATTACGTGTTTCTTAAATTGAAATTTGAAGAAGTCTTGTTAAACTCAGATAAAGGCTTCTTTAAGGATATTACATAGCTTACAATTCATAAGCCGAGAGTAATTTTTTGATCGCTTAATTAACTTCTTGCAATCACTACTCCAAATTACAGGTTCGAACAACCCATCCGGTATACAGTCGTTTGCCGCTGCGGCAGCATCAGGTCTCTCATCGTCATCGTCGTCGTCGAACGCTACAACACCTGGAGCCGCTAATTCCGCAGCCGTCATTAACGACGTAACCGCATCAGCTGCCACAAGCACAGCATACGTAGCCGATAGCGCTGATACAGCAGAGTTTCCACAGACGACGTTCATTTGTCCGCCGACAGCCCAACCAATAAATCGCGGAGTACAATTTGAGATATCTGAAATGGATGTGGTTAGTTGATGGGACTGTCATTTATGAAAATTTGTATTTGGGGCAGCATGTAGTCCATTGGGTCTGAATCCTACCCAGTTGTGCTGAACTCGTACTTGCGTAAAGGTTAAAAGATCCTTTGACATAACAACCAAATGTTAACTGATTTTTATGAGAAATTTGTGTCATGGCATAAGTTGGATGAATTGGTTAAGAGCAGAGATCATCATTAAGTCACTCCGGTTGAGAATCATTTCGAAGCACTTTTGAATTTAATTTCCATTTCGGCCCCTTATCTTGAATCAACTTTTGCCTCATGTGGTTAACTTCGCTGCTGTAGACTAAGGTTGCCTTCTCTTTGAAATAAACAGGTTTAGACTACACTTACCTCGACCTAAGTTTCAAAAATCAGTTTCCATTTGCTGTGTTTTGATGATTTTAGATGTGCGAAAGTATATCAGTCAAATTTATGCATGCTATCCAAGGCAATTCAAAAGTCATAACTCCATCACATTATGCATTTCGCTGTTATGCTGTTTTTCTGTATTTCTGCGCTATTTTTGATAAAATAGTCTTCTGCGCTGTATCTCATTTATGTTTTGAAAAGCTGTCATTTGAAAGGGAGACGAACTGTTGGATCGGCCTTTGTAGGCAACTTTTGTTATTCTCATTCGGAAAGTGGGAATAAGGAAAGAAACAAGAGTTCACTACCGCGTGAAGTTAATGAATGAAATGCATGGACCAATCCCAACGTTGAGCACAATTTTAGTTATCTTGGCATATTTGCGAGTAGAAGATGCCCAGCGTGTTTAAAAGCTGGAGTTTTCATTGATAGAGTTGGTTTTTAAAGAGGCTGTTACTAATTTTTAAAATTTTT